GAACAAATGAAATCCGGGAGACTGTGGGAGAAGAACAGCAGTTCAGTTTGGGGCATAGTAAGTTGGAGATGCCTATTAGACATCCAAATGACAGTGGCAGATAGGAAGTTTGTTTATATGAGTCTGGAGTTTAGGGGGAAAGTCTGGGCTAGAAGCATAAATTTGGAGTTATCTGTGTATAAATGGTGTTTAAACCCTCAAGGTTAGAGGAGATCATTAAGAAGTGAGTGTACAGCACAGAATCCAAGTGAAGAAAGTGTTTCCAGGAGAAAGGTGACTGAGGTTGTGTCAGATGGTGCTGAGAGGTCAATTAAAAGGAAAACAGGTCAGGTGTGGTGGCTCATGTCCGTAGTCTCAGCATGTTGGGAGGCTAAGGCAGGAGTATGGGTGAAAGCCAGAAGTTTAAGACCAGCGTAAGTAACATGGTGAGACCTTGTCTCTACAAAATTCAAATACAAAAACTAGCCAGGCATGATGGCATGTGTCTGTAGTCCCAACTACTAGAGAAGCTGAGGCAGGAGGATCACTTAGGCCCAGGAATTTGAGTGAACTATGATGATACCACTGTAAGCTATGATCATACCACTGCACTCTAGACTGAGACTGTCTCAAAAAAATAGGAACTATGATCATACCACTGCAGTGAACTATGATCATACCACTGCACTCTAGCCTGAGACCTTGTCTCAAAAAAATAGGAAAACAAAGGAGAACAGAGAATAGACACTTGATGTGGCAACATGAAGGTCAGTGGTGATCTTGACAAGGGCTCTTTGGGTGAAATAGTCTGGACAAAAGCCTGAGCAGAATGGTTTTAAGGAAAAGAATAGAGAAGAATTGAGACTGCAACAGTTAGCAACTCTTTGAGGAGATTAGCTATAAATGAGAGCAAAGGACAGCATCTGGAGGTGGAAGAAAAGTCAAGAGAATTTTTTCTTCCATTCAACAAGTAAGGAATAACAATATCCTTGTGTGTTGGGGAGAACGCTCCAGCAGAGAGGAAAAACTGGTGATGAAAGAGAACAGGGTGAATTACTATAGTGAGGTACCTGAGCAGGTGTATTAGTTTCCCAGGCTGCCATAACAAATTACCACAAACTTGGTGGCAGTGGAGGTGGGGAGGGGAAGCCATGGGACCTAAGCCTCTGGGGCTGGTCCTCCAGTGGCCTGGTCTTCCTCATACCCTCCATGGACAGCCACTGGTGTTCTTGATTATCCCCTGAAGCTCATCTTTCACATAGCAGCTGGAGGGGGCTTTTAAAAAAGTGAATTTGAGGGTGGTGCCTATGGCTCCAAGGAGTAGGATGCCGGCCCCATATGCCGGAGGTGGTGGGTTCAAACCCAGCCCCAGCCAAAAACTGCAAAAAAAAAAGTGAATTTGAATACATCACTTTCTTTTTTTTTTTTTTGAGACGGAGCCTCAAGCTATCCCCCTGGGTAGAGTGCCATGGCA